TTTTTTTTTTTTTTTTCCTAAAGCGTTATCAAAATAAGAAGAAAAACGTGACGGAAAAACACGAGACGGACCAGATAGAGAGGCGAACCGAAGGGCCTCCTCGATCATCCGGATCTGGGCCGACCGGTGGTCGGAGATGGAAACGTCGGCGCCCGGCTCGTAGAAGCCGTGGTGCATGTGGTCCCCCCATATGTCCTCCCATATCCCCGACGACTCGTCGTACAGCTCCGCAATCCCCTTCTTCAAGCTCTCGGCACCCCCCGCCGCCGCAGCCGCCGGTGGCGCCGCCATTCTCCGCCTGGTAGAGCTCAACCTGAGAAGTACAGGATTAATGGTCCTCCTCCCGCGGCCAAATGATCTGGAGGCGGCTACTGTTGTTATAGGGTTGGTGGTTGGAAGGGAGGGGTAGGGCCCACCGATCGAGTAGGGTCGGCCGCATTGGCCAACGCCAGCGGCGGCCATGTGCGCGTTTGCTAGGAAAGGGAAAGGCTGCCTTTTTCACACGTTTTTCCAGCGGATGTGTGTTTTTTCATTAATAGAATGGTGTGAAAGGTCCCAATATAACTGGAATGGGGACACGTGTTGCATTTGGGTTGGATGATTTTGGGCTAAGATTTCTCTGATTGGGAGATTCTCTTCTGAAATATCTCGACTGCGGGGAATATTTTTGGAAAGGGGAGACTAAAAAATGGTTTTATTGGGTAAAAAGGAAACATGGAAAATGTTGAATGGATGAATGATATTGGTTGTTTTGGTAAATAAAAGTTTTCAAAATTAGTCTCTCATTTTTTTTATTATTTGTCGTTTTGAAAATTAACACGCTAATTAAAAAAAAAAAAATTGTCAATATTAATTTTATTTAATGGATGTTATAGAAACAATGAAGATGAGATATGAAAAGAATGTGTATTAAATAGAGGGTTAAAAATGAAAAAATATGAACAAAATAGTCAAAACGACATTTATTTAATCAATCATCAATTAAGCTGGGATGACAAATAATAAAAATAGAAGGGAGTAATTGTTTTTGTCGAAACGTTAAAAAAATTGTTAAAATTGATGGTTGCCGCTGCCATTTTTTGTGGCGGATTTCAACACATTATACATCATTTTTGGAGTCTTCAACTTGACTTGTTCGAGGATACCTATTTCATCATAATATACTTCGAAATTCGTCATAATCGTTGTTAAAAGTTTCAATACGTCTTTTGAGTTTGAGCGAGACACACTTGGATTTTATGAACATATGTATAAAAGCCAGAATTCCTGAGGAATTCAATGGTGTAGCCTGATCATAGATTGAGTCTCTCGATTTTTTAATATAAGCCGGCGAAATTTTTAATTTTCCCAAGTGCGAAAAATAAAATTATTCTGACAAAAATTGAAATTCGAAATTTAAAAAATGAAATGAATGGTTGTTTAAAAAACAGAACAATGGTATTGGTGATTTGAATATCTTTATTTAAGAATTAAAAGATTTTGATATCTGCTAACACATAGATCTATAAAAGAAAACAAACAATTCGTGAGTACAATAATAAAATTTAAAATTTACTAGTATGGTATATTTAAAGGAAAATGCTACGTCCCGTCACGGAATCATTATGTCGGGATTTTTTAACTATTAGATTATCATGGGGGGATAGTTGATTTAACGGTAACAAACCCTGACATAATAGTTTCGTAATGGGATTGTAGAATCTCTCATATTTAAAATAAAAGAAATTTATCAATTTAGGCAATAAGAACAGATTAGAATTGTCAATTCATGCTTTAATAAGATAAATTATATTGATTCCAAAAGCAAATTTGTCAATTTGAGACTCCCGTTTCATAAGGGGAAAAAAATTATTCTCAATAATCCAAATATACAATTGTAGACATCGAAATTTTAATATTTTATTAATTAATGTATTTATTTATTTTGGGACATAAATCCAAGATAAATAAGATATTTAATTAATAAAGTAATTGTTTCTTGCCCACCAAGTCAAATCTTAGGATAAGGAAAGAGATTATATCAAATCAAGAAGGACCAATCAAATTGATGTCTTCTTTTCCAAGACTCTCTCTCCTACACCTATAAATAAGGCTCTCCTCAAACGCCTCAAACGCCTCAAACACCTCAAACACATCTCAAAAATCAAAGTCTCAAATTCAAGCGCTCTCAAGAATCCTCTTGAAGATTTGAAGAAGTTCTTGAAGAACCGTCTGAAGTCCATCCAATGAAGAAGAAGGCCAAGAAGAAGAAAAAGAGGCGGCGACTCTTCCCCAAGAAGTAAAGAGACGACTTCTACTCCTCTCAAGTCAGTAAAAGAATATCAACGACGTTCAAGCGACATTCAAGCCGCGTTCGTTGAGAAGTTCAACCAAATAGCGTTTGATCCTTGAAAAAGCTATCAAGCCCTCGAGTCAACGTATTCAAGGCAAAGTCCATCTTTCAAAAGATCAAAGAATCAAGTCCTCCAAGAAGGCTTCTTCAATCAAGTCAAAGCTTAACATTTAATACGGGAATAAGTCATTCGACCCCCAAATTAATGTTAGAGAAATTCAAGAGCAAGCCCGAAGGAGGTTCAATCGCCAAATCCATCTTTAAAGATCTCAAACCCAAACCCATTGAAGAGAAGAATCAGAGGAGATAAATAGAGATTGTACCCGCATATCGTTTGATCGAAATATATTCAAGTTGTACAGAAATTTTATGTTTTTAATAAAATTTGTTGTTACAAATTTAAATGCCCCCTTGAGACTTGTTCACGAACAAAATGTCTTGGTAGTGAATGAGTCTCAAAATTTTTGATTTGGTTTGGACATGCAGATAGTTTAAACTCTTATCTAGGAGTTCTTCAACTTGAGTTCGAAGATAGTTTAAACTCATATCAGGGAGTTCTTCATTTGACTTGATTTGTAGATAGTTTATACTCATATCAAGGAGTTCTTCATTTGACATAATTTGTAGATAGTTTAAACTCGTATCAAGGAGCCTTGATTTGATTTGACAGATAGTTTATACTCGTATCAAGGAGTCTTCAATTTTGTAGACATTTTATGCTCGTGTCAAGGAGTCTTCGAATTTGATATGTAGACATTTTATTCTCGTGTCAAGGAGATCTTAATATGTAGACATTTTATGCTCGTGTCAAGGAGCCTTCAAGTTTGATATGTAGACCTTTTATTCTCGTGTCAAGGAGATCTTGATATGTAGACATTTTATGCTCGTGTCAAGGAGCCATAAGATAGTTTAGGCTCATATCAAGGAGCATTAGAATATGTAGATAGTTTATGCTCATATCAAGGAGCATTTGAATATTTTGAATATTTAGATAGTTTAAGCTCATATCAAGGAGCATTGTAGATAGATTAAGCTCGTATCAAAGAGCATTTGAATATGTAGATAGTTTAGGCTCGTATCAAGGAGCATTTGAATATTTGATGGAGCTCTTCATGTGACTTGCCCCCATGCTTCATGGCTTGGGAAGACATCATTCTTCATTGCCCCCATGTACATTTTCTTCAAAGGGGTCTTCATACATCTTCAAAGATCTTCGAACTTGATTTGAAGAGAAGAGATGAGAGGTAGAAATTGTCCCACTGGGCGTGCCAAATTTGTAACAACAAATTTTATGAAAAACATAAAACTTTTTGTACAACTTGATTTATTTTGATCAAATGATATTGCGGGTTACAATCTCTATTATTCCTCTGATTCTTCTCTTCATGAATTTGAGTTTGAGATCTTGAAAGATGGATTTGACGGTTGAATCTCCTTCGGGCTGGTCTTGAATTTCTCTAACATTAATTTGGGGGTCGAATGACTTATTCCCGTATTAAATGTTAGGCTTTGACTTGATTGAAGAAGCCTTCTTGGAGGACTTGATTCTTTGATCTTCTTGAAAGATGGACTTTGACTTGAATAACGTTGACTTGAGGGCTTGATAGCTTTTACCCGAATCAAACGCTATGTTGGTGGAACTTCTCAACGAACGCGGCTTGAATGTCGCTTGAACGTCGTTGATATTCTTGCATTGACTTGAGAAGCGTGAAAGTTGTCTCTTTACTTCTTGAGGAAGAGTCGCCGCCTCTTTTTCTTCTTCTTGGCCTTCTTCTTCATTGAATGGAATTCGGGCGGTTCTTCAAGAACTTCTTCAAATCTTCAAGAGGATTTTTGAGAGCGCTTGAATTTGAGACTTTGATTTTTGAGATGTGTTTTGAGGTGTTTGAGGAGAGCCTTATTTATAGGTGTAGGAGAGAGAGTCTTGGAAAAGAAGACATCAATTTGATTGGTCCTTCTTGATTTGATATAATCTCTTTCCTTATCCTAAGATTTGACTTGGTGGGCAAGAAACAATTACTTTATTAATTAAATATCTTATTTATCTTGGATTTATGTCCCAAAATAAATAAATACATTAATTAATAAAATATTAAAATTTCGATGTCTACAACAATCTTTCGCTTTTAGTATTCTACTTTCAATTTCAATTTAATTAGTTTTGGTAAATATAGTTTTCAAAATTTATCGTTTTTGTCGAAACGTTAAAAAAAATTGTTAAAATTAACGGTTGCCGCTTCCATTTTCTGTGGTGGATTTCAACACATTATATATCACTAGTAATTCTCCTGTGCATATGCACAGAATAATAATAATAAAAAAAAAAAAACCTTTTATATAAAGATAACAACTACAATAAAAATTAATTAGCAATATGTATCACATTTATGATTTAATTGTTACATTAACTTAGCGAGTTATTTGAGAATTAATTCATTTTAACTTAATTGTAGAATTTATTAAATACAATAAATAAAAATATGAAGTTTGCAATATACTAAGAACAATGGTTTTATGAATTGAATATAGTAAATAATATAATGTATATAATTTGAGTATTTTAATAAAAATTATTACAGTACGGACAAAGTAAAAGAGAAAAAAAAGACAGTATAAATCTTATATATCATATAAATGAATCTTTTATAGGTTTTCCATAAAAGAAATATACAAGCCAATTCTACCATTTATTAGAAAGTGATATATCATAATATTATATAAAAAAGAGATATGTAGTAGCATTTTTAGGTTTTATTTATTGCTCTGTCAACAATATATATATATATATATATAT